GAAAATCACTCACATTTCTACCACCAATGAATCACCACTGCTAACATTTCACCCATATTTTGTAAATCATTCCTCTTTTCAAAATAAAATTCTATTCTGTATATTATTTTCTAACCTTAAATTTTCTCAGCAAATGTGTATTATGAATCTCTTTTCCTATTATTCTATGCTATATGGCATCTACTTTTAAAAAAATGGAGTAGTATCTTTTATTTAATCTTTGACAATTTCCTACATGTAAACAATGCATCTTGATCATCGGGACTCCCCATTCCCACTCTCCCCGTTCCCCAGGAGTCACCAACATGCCCCCTCACCCTTTCATGTCCTCTTTGTCTCAGTTAATAGTCAGCTAAGTCTAGTTAGCTGCCTGTTGGAATGTTGCCTGATCTTGTGCAGGTAACCACAGCTACAGTGGCCATGACAGGTCCCGAGGTAACCATGGCTGCAGTGGCCATGACAGGTCCCAAGGTAACCATGGCTGCAGTGGCCATGACAGGTCCCAGGATAACCACAGCTGCAGTGGCCATGACAGGTCCCAGGATAACCATGGCTGCAGTGGCCATGACAGGTCCCGAGGTAACCATGGCTGCAGTGGCCATGACAGGTCCCAAGGTAACCATGGCTGCAGTGGCCATGACATGTCCCAAGGGCAGCATTTCACAGCACTCTTCCCCGGTGGTTCTTGGCTGTCTTTCAGCCCCTCTTCCTTGATATGTCGCCCTTTCTGACTGTGTGTTCTCTGGTGTGCACATATGATACATTTACTTAATTGGACATTCGGGTTGTTTCTCATCGTCTTACAAAGAGCAGTTTGCTTTTAATTTTGAAAAGGTCTCTGCTTGGGGGCTGGAGAGATAGCTCAGTGGTTAAAAACACTGGCTGTTCTTCCAGAGGACCTGGGTTTGAATCCCAGCACCCACATGGCAGCTCACATCCCACTTGAACTTCAGTCCCAGGGAAGCTGACACCTTCTTCTGGTCTCCTTGGGTACCAGGCTGCTTTTAATGTGCATGGTGTCTTCACCAGCAACTAACAGAATGATCACCCTTCAGATAGGGGTGACCCTATGTGGGTTTCTGTTTGAGATACCCTAAAAGAGAGCCTGTTCCCCTGGTTACCTCTTGCTCCCCACCAACTAAGTGATATTTGTGTGGAATGTGCTGCCTGTGCTCCGAGAAATCGACCACAGCACCAAGGAAGAGCAAGGGGCAAGGTGGAACAGCATTGTGTGTGTATATGTGTGTGTGTGTGTGTGTGTGTGTGTGTGTGTGTGTGTGTGTGCATGTGTGTGTATATATGTGTGTGTGTGTGTGTGTTTGCATGTGTGTGGGTACATGTGTGTGCACATTTGTGTGAAGGCCAGAGCAGAGTTGATGACAGGCATCTCCCTTGGTCCCTCCACTTTATTTACCGGGGCAGAGTCTGTCTCACAAGGAGTTTGGAACTCTGGTTCATCTGATCCAGCTAGCCATCTAATCGCTGCTTCCCGATCCTGACGGGATCTCAGGCAGTCACACCTCCGCTGCCTGGCATTTCTGTGAGGGTTGGAAAGCTGAACTCCACTCCTCATGTTATGCAGCATGTACTTTATCCTCTGAGCCTTCTCCCCAGCCCAGCCTAAGCATTTGGATGGTCATCCAGAGAATTGCAAAACTAGAGCATTGGTGAGGAGGACACTTCGCCTTTTAAAAATCCTTTGGCAGATACTTGCCATCCCACAAGATTTCTTTCTCTTACATGCTTACTTAAATTTTTCTTGGAATAAAAAACATTCAAGATTTTTTTTTTTTTTTTGTAAAACATTGGTAACTTAAGGTCTGTGGTGACGGTTAAGAAGAAATTTGAGGAACATGCGTGCATGTACTCACAGTTAATCTCAGTAGTATATATTTAAATATTTCAAGTCAGCTTTAGTTAATTGCAAGTTTATGTTTGACTGCCAAGTTGACACTGGGTAGCAGTGCAGCAACCCAGGCATCCCTGGCTCAGGGACAAAGCCACAGGGGAGCACATCTGCATGAACATGGGGACGAGGAGCACACGGATTGGCGTCAGAGCCCTCGCTCAGAAGCCTGCTGGGAAAGAAAACCCTTTTCTTTTTGTGAGAAGAGTCTACCAAAGCCTTTTCTCTTACAGGGGTTGATTCCTTAAGAAACACTCATTTCATTTATGCAAAGAGCTGTGTTAAATTGAACACCCAGTATTCCAGCTCATCCAAGGTGCTCTTCGGTGGACCATGGTGTGGGACTGTGAGGTTCCAGCTGTGGCTGGAACTTGATACTTGGTGCAGGCTACATTTAAACATCCATCAGGCCCTAGTTTTATCTATCTATCATCTATCTATCATATATATGTGTATATATACATATTTGTTTGTATATATCATATATGTGTATATATACATATCTTCCCTCCCTCCCCATCTCAGGGTTTCACCCTATAGCTGAGGTTGCCCTGGGACTCACTGTGTAACCCAGACTGGCCTCTTTCCTTCTGCTTCAGGCTCCTGAAATATTACCGGTTTGAGCCCCATACCTAGCTGGCTTCTAGTTTCTTTTCTCCTTCTCGTCCTCTTCCTTAGGCCCCTTTCTTCTTTAAATGAAATCAGTTTTATGAAACTACAAACAACCCCCCCCCACACAAAACAAAACAACCAAGCTTACATTTTCTCAAATAAAACAAAGCATCAAAATTCAACAATCAAATGAACTAAGGGAGTGAGTTCTTTCCCCTCTTCCTCTTTCTCATCTTCATTTTTACTTTTTCCCTTTGGTTTTATATTTTTATTTTCAAAAGACAAAACACTCAGACAGTTTAAATATAAGTCTAAAAGGGTTGTTGTCTGAAGCGTGATCCTAATTAGTCTTAACGATAAAAACCCGGAGTCAGATGTTAGGGTCAGAGCAGCAGAGCAGCAGCCACAAGAGACTTCTTACCTCTACAAAATCTCAGACCGAAATGGGGGATCCTGTCTCTACGAATCCTCAGACTGAATGGGGGAGATGATCTCCCCCATGTTATATTCCTGTCTCCACCTCCCTCGTGCTGGGATCAAAGGCGTGCACCCTCACGGCCTGGCTCTGTTTCTTTTAGACTGGTTCTATCTTGTGCAGCCCAGGGTGGCCTTGAACTCCCGATCTTCCTGTTTCCTCCTCCTTAGTGCTGGGATTACAGGTGTGAGCCACCACTGCCTGGCCTCTATGGTTAGCTAGTGGCTGGCTCTGCCCTCTGATCTCCAGGTAAGCTTTATTTGTCAGAACACAAACAAAATATCACACAGCAGTTGTCAATGAGTGGTGAACCACGATGCTTTCTCCAGACATGCCTGGCTTCTTTGAGACCTCTTCCCACGAGGAGAGGGCTCTGTGGCTATTCACATGCATCCTCCCTAACTGCATGTAATCTACACCTGTCTGTGTGTGTGTGTGTGTGTGTGTGTGTGTGTGTGTGTGTGTGTGTGTGTGAACACATTTACTTTTCCACATCATGAATTTCAGCTCCAACTTTGTCTCCCATGGCCATAATAATTTCCATTTGGCCCAGCTGTCTCAGATCAGGTCTTTGGTAAAATGGAAATTTATTGAGAGCTTTTCTGGGCCAGTCTTGTCAGAGAGTCTCACTAACTCGGCCTTTGGTTTCCTTGGATGTCAAAGGGGGCTTTGGCACTCTACTGTCTGTACAAACACGTGACTCTTTACGGCACCCAGCAGAAACAGAGACCGCCATCCAAGCTGGGCCAGGGCCAGTGTGGGAACCAGCCTGAGGCAGAGTGGGAAGGGCTGTGGTAGGCAGCCGTCACAGGCAGAAAGGACACGTGCAGGCCAGGGAATAAATTCTTTCTCAGGAAGTGTAATGCTTTGACTTCAAAAGCATCAGTTTTCCATACCTGTTTAATTTGATGAGACAAATTTATTTCAGACTGCACATTCATTCCGACAAACTTCAAATTGTAGTTCCTTTTTTATTTTTCATATTCTCAACAACTGGCGAAGCTGTGACCCAGACCTTCCAAATTAGCTTAGCTGATGGTCAATGCTGCCCGAGTAAGCATGTTGCCCATTCCTCCAGGTAAGCCTGGGGGGCAGCCTGTGTTGGCAGAACAGGGATTTCAGCTTGTAGGAGATCCTTGGGACATATCCCAGCTCCCCAGAGTGAGTGAAATCAATCCTAGAAAACCTTGCTTCACTTTCTAGAAAGAAGGGAGGGGGAAAGGCCCCTTCTCTGGAATAAATTGGTTGAGTGGAAAGGCAGTGTGTGGAGGGGACGGCAGCTCCTTCCCACGTGAGGCCTCCTTCCCCAGGCAGGTCCCAAGCGTGTTTGGGTGTGGAGAAACACTTACATGTGTGCACACACAGATGTGGAGCTGTGTGGCATTAAACGTGGGAGAGGCAGCTTTGGAGCTGACAGGTACAGCCATAGTGTGTCACCCGCGTAGGTATGTGCCTCTGATCACACACAGGCTTTCCAGGACAACCAGGCTGCTGGCATTGTTCTCCTTGATTGCCCAAAGCCCAACATCGGCCTTGTCAGATCACTACAGTCTTAGGAAGCCTGGTGTGGCCCTCACGGCTGCAGGACTGGGACAAAGAGATGATGTTACAGTCTGGTTTCTATGGCAACAGAGGAGGAGTAATGAAAACTGAAATGTAGGAAACACCCGTTCTGACGATTGTGACATAATTCAGTTTATTACAAGGAAGTAACTACCCAAGAAGCAGAAGTGTCATTACCTGGCAGCCTGTGTTGACAAAAAGCTGCACTGTGCATTTATCTTAGTTGGGCTGTAAAGGGGAGAGAAACACACCACACCACACACACACACACACACACACACACACACACACACACACACACACACACGGAGCCCTCGCTTTCTGCATGTGAAATGTGTGTGTTCTTTAGAAGCCAGTGGTTGGCTGGTGTTCCGGACATGATGTGGTTGAGGCTGTCATCGTAATGGAAATTCACTGCCGTAGCTATGGTAAATCGAGTGTTCTGCCTGTGCTGAATGCATTAGTCTAATGAGATGTTTGCAGCGGCGAGCAGGGCTGGTGGAGACTAGCTGTGAGCAGCAGTAGCACACGGGTGGAAGGCAGCGTGTGCAATCCTCGGGGGCGCTTGCAGGATGCACACAGGTGGAAGATAGCGTGTGCGATCCTCGGGGGGCACGTGCAGGAAATCACCTTCTTCTAAGTCAACACTCCCAACCCGATCAACACCCTGATCAGGGCTCTGTGATCAAGCTGTAGGTAAGGGAGACACCGCTGGAGGGTGTGCCGTGATGTGGGTCCTTCTCTGTGGGCTGCCAGCACAACAGGTTACCTGCTCTAGTTTATTTGGGAGGGTCTGCATGCCTGCTGCTGTGGCAGTGCACCAGTGCTGAAATCACTGAGCCCGGCGGGTAAACTTCAGACTCTGAGATGAAAAATACTATGTTTGATTTCTTAACTATGTCGCAAAGGAAGATGTAGTGTAGAAATATACAGTTTATATGTTTTCAGTATGTACACACTTACTATTCTTTATCGCTGCGTATAAATACGTGCAAAATTTTTTCTTTTTTTTTTAAACGTGAACTCAGATAACTGTTTGGATTTTTTTCCTAATGATAATTTGACTTGGCTTGCCTTTGTCTTATTAATTTAAAAATTGTAGTATGTTTTAGGCTACAAATATTTACCTAAAATGTATTATTAAAATTGGTGTGTTATAAACACACATCAAAGCATTTGTTTTAAATGTTACTTGTTGTTTACTTATTTTGAATGTTTCAGATGGAATATTTCATGTCTTTGTGTTGGTTGATAATAATATGGTTACCAGTCATAGTTGAGGCTGGGTATTAATTGCTGGTTGCTGTTATTAGGTTTTTGGTTTTGTTTTTTTTTTAATCAACCTGTCCTTTCTTTTTCATCATTATTTTAAATTTATTTTTATTTTATGTGTGTTGGTATTTTGCCATGGATATCGAGTGCCCTGGAACTGGAATTACAGACAGTTGTGAGCTGCCATGTGGGTGCTGGGACTTGAACTCGGGTCCTCTGGAAGAGCAGTCAGTGTTCTTAACCACTGGGCCATCTCTTCAGTACCGTTATTAGTTTTTTGTTTGTTTGTTTGTTTTTTAAAGGGGGAAAATCCCAGGTTAGTTTGGAATGGTTGGAGTTTTCCCACAACTCAAAGACTAAGTCACCTCTCTCCCAGGTGTGGCACTGTGACCTGAACCGGTTTCCACTTGTTTTCCTGCAGTGGCCTCTTCAAGTTGCTTGCTAGACAGACGGGAGCAGTGGGTAAGGGTGTGGTGTGGCTGCAGAGTAAGCGGTTTCCACTCATGTTGATGTGTCTGAGTCCAAGTTCTTGCCGTTATCTGTGATGATAAACCAGAGGTGGCTTGCTAGGGTCTTTCTAGGGTCATGACATTTCTCAAGAGGGATATATCATCAACAGCTCTCTGACAAAGTGGTTTTGTAGTTGGGATACTCGAAAAGTAATCCGGGCACTTCAGAACAGACATGTTTGCTGTGAGCTCTGTGTTTTCAATTTCTCTCCCAATTAAGGAAGACTGTTTTGAAGAGTGAGAGACACAGTTACCTGTCCCTCCTCAAGACTTTCTTCTCATAAAAACTAATGAAACCAAAGCAGAGTGTCTGGGGTGAAAGCATGAAAGTATAGGAATAATTGCAAAGGACAAGGTACTTGATCTGGAGAGCGTGTTTCGTGGAACATCATATGTGTGCTGCTTGGTAGGAATGTTCAATCTAGTGACTATTTGAACAACAGCTCCTGGGTGACAATTCCCTAGAAAACCATCACTGAGTGACTATCAGATCGCAACTAAAATGTGAACACAGACGTCCCATGCACAGAAGTTGCTTAGTGGCTTTACAATCTACTTTTAAAATATAGTTGCCAACTGTTTTTAAAACATGAATTTTTTTTTCTTATTGCTCTTAAGATTGTGTTTGTGGAGGGAACTTCTCCGAGAATCTGTCCATCCAGTTTGTAGTATCATAAAAGGAAAATAAAGATTCCCACAAAACCTTAAATTTTAGTTGTTTACCACATTTAAATTTCTTGCCCAGGTCACCAAAATTACTTTTATCATTTTACTCTTAAAAGATGTGTACGAGCGGTTCTAAGACAGAAAAGCGAACAGGCGAACCCAGAGTCCTGTGCGTCTTCGCTGCTCTGGTGTTTTCAGCAAGTGAAACCAGCTGCAGTTTCACTTTCTGGGACTGGTTGTGGGGGTGAGGGTTGGAGGTCACAGAGATCAGCTTCTGGGAAACAAGCCAAACCCAAACACAGTCACACCCCCACCCCCCACCCCCACCCCGACTCCTGCACTTTGATCTTGCCAACAACTCAAACAAGCAAGGCTTTTAATATCTTCAATACTACTTGCTTGCGATAAAATTCTAACAATACCCGAAAGGACAAAGACAGAAGTTTAACTTTTTAAATAAATTTAACTTCTTTTTTTTCAACTAAATGGTAGAAAAATCACAACAAGATTGCCCCAAACCTTTCATAATGGGGTGTTTTTTATTGTTTCTTTTTAATCTTAATGTTTGATCTCAAATGCTTGATTGCAATAAGTTTGAGGGAATATAACAAGGAATTCTCCCTGAAGAATAACTTCTCTGTTGGAAAGCTGGAGTGTCGGACACAAATTCGGAGTGTTTCTTCGATCTGCAGTTTTGCAAGACCCAAGGGCTTCTCTCTCTCTCTGTCTCTCTGTCTCTCTGTCTCTCTGTCTCTGTCTCTGTCTCTCTCTGTTTCTCTCTCTCTCTGTTTCTCTCTCTCTCTCTCTTTCTCTCTCTCTCTCTCTCTCTCTCTCTCTCTCTCTCTCTCTCACACACACACACACACACACACACACACACACACACACACACAGGAACAGCATTGGCCGGGGGCAGGCAACGTTTCTTCTCCCTAAGTAGGTACCTCTGAAAACTTCAGTGTCCCAGGGTCCCTAGGTAGCTCTGTGTGCTCCTTAGGATTCAGAATTCCAGCTTCCTCTGGTTTCATCCCCTTAGATTTTGTTTGAGAATGGATTTGGGAATGAAGATGAAGACATACCCTTATCCCATCTAGTCTTCAAGGACAGCAAAATCACTTTCCTATTTCAGGAGTGATGTTTCTGAGAGCAGTCTCCCCTCGGGTGTGAGCACTCAGGCTTCTCTGTATTGATGGGCAAATTCTGAGAGCTTTTAAAAAAGCTTCCTTGGACATTTATGTCTTAATCCTGAAGTCTCCCAAAAGACTGAGATTTACACATTTCCACTCCTTAAAAATGTTTTTGTTGCTTTCAAAGACAGGTGAGGAGAGATGGGGGATTCAAATGGTCCCTAGGAGGAAGAAAAATCAGATGCTTTGGTAGAAATATAGTGTAACAGAAGCCGCCAGGGTGTCTAGCAAATTACTCTAAATTTTAATTAATGAGACACAAAAGCCATACTACAAGCTTTAAAAATTACCCTTTTATCAATAAGGTGATAATTAACTTTCTCTAGAATTAGCGATTCTCTGAGCCCCGGGCAGCATGCCGCCTGCTAAGTTCTTTGGAATGCTGCCAATTTTTAACAATTGGTCTTTTGGCAAGCCTAGTGGTTTTTAATTCAAACATCTATTGTGGCATTTCCAGTTGTGGCTCAAAGACCATTAAGATCGCTCAAATCCTGGCGAAATTTCTGAGATCCAGAGTAGCTCAGAATGTCGGGGTTGCATTTGAGTTGGTTACTTTATTTTTCTTCATGTTGCCGTTTCTACCTTTTCCTCCCCAAACTCCAGTGTCTGCAGGAGTGCAGTCTTCTGGCTATAGGCGGCTGGAAGCCTCAGTGACAATCTGGTTTACCGGCGCTTGCACGCCCCCGGGTTTGTTCTCGTTGGGTTTATTTTATCTCGGTTTCAGCTCTGGCGAGTGGGTATGTCAGTCCCCCCCCCCCCCCCCCCCGCACCCCACGCCTGGTGTCCCTCCCCGCCTGCATTTCAGCAAGATTTCCTGCATTGGTGGGGGTCAGCAGATGCAAAGATTTAGATGGAGACTTGAGGGGAAGCTCAGGCCGGAGACTGTTTTCGTTGTGTCTAGGGGTTTGCAATTCAGCTGATTTACCCAAAATGATGGTTATGGGGCACAGGCACCTAGCGCTCCATATCTCATAGGAGGCCCCAGCAAAACGACACACCCACCACAAGCCACACACCACATCACATCGCATCGCATCGCATCCATCACACACACACACACACACACACACACACACACACACACACACACACACACACACTGTTGGTTAGGCTGGGATGCTAGTGTCAAGGTCTAGACAGGCAAGTTCCCACTAAGACAAGTACCCCGTGCCTTCAGTCAGGTGTGCATTCCGGAATAAACCAGCTTCTTGCAACCAGGAGGAACCCTTTAGCCACAGCTAAGGAGACGGTACTCCTCACCTTGTGAGGTGGTTACTACGTGAGTTGGTTACTCCTTCGGGGAAGAAAGAAACTGATCACCCAGGGGCAGTCTTGAGCTTGTACTAAACTGAAAAGTCATTCCACAGAGTCCTGGGGACACCCTGAAGCCCAGGGAGTGTGTCCGTGGCTCTCGAGGCAGGCCTCTCTGGCGTAGCTTCGGTTCGCACCGGCTGCAGCGGGTCACCAGGAATCTGGTGCCCTGATCTGCTCATACCGGCTGCAGCGGGTCACCGGCAATCTGGTGCCCTGAACCTACGTCTCTTCACACTTGCAATTCCTTGGGCACGGTCTTTCAGAAAGTTTATGAAGTATGTGTGTGTGAAAGTGTTGATCAGATAACCGGACTCAGTTGCGGATTTTTGAGGTTCCGTGCGCATCCCTGGCTGCTGGACTCCGGAAGTCACAACAGCGGAAGGAGGCATGGAGCCGGCTGTTGTGAGACCATGATCGACCGTGCCATGGCACAAAGAGCGTCCGCTGTGCTTCGAAAGGTGACAATGACCCAGACGCTGATGGTGACTCAACTTTTGAAGTGAATGTTTGGTAGCAAAGGCTCGCTCTTCCCTTTCGCTAGCCCTGTGCCGATCGGTGGATACAGCAGAGATCTCATTGGTTCAAAACAGATATCATGGCTTGAAAGTCATAAAGAAATTTATGAAGGGACAGATGCAAGTGAGGCATAGCAAAGAATTGTCCCAATTCTTTGAAAGTGAGGGGAGGGGCCCTGTGGGGAAGTGGCTAAGGCTGCTGGGCTAGAACCCAGGGAAGGAGTTTAGAGAAA